ATATATATATATATATATTAAATTCAATAAATTTTCTATAAATAGAAATAATTTTGTGTCATAATATAAATTATTTAAAATGTAAAATATAATTTAGAGATATGTATAAAAGATATAATAGATTGAAAATGATAAATAATTACTCCAAAAACAAATCTAATTTACAGATAAAAATAAAATAATGATAATATGAAATACTTGAAATAAAATATTTTTATCTAGTTACGTGAGTAATGTATATATAAAATACATATACATATCCAATAGAAGGAGAAAAAAAAAAGATTATTTAATTTTACTGTCCAGATTATATTATATATTTTATATAAGATAAGTCTAGATTTTTTAGAAGATAAAATCAAAGAATTTAAGATTAGATTAGATGATATTTATCTGAACGACCAAAAGATTGGATAATATTCGAAAAAAAAGGAGTGATTGGGAATTTGAAAATCGAGAATTGTTGCGCCTCCTTCAAAGTTCATCTATAAATACGTCTCTGAGCCTTCACATCAATGTGTCCAAACTCGCTCCATCCTTCAACTTGAAGCGATCAATCTCTGCAAATATGTTAGTTTATCAGGACCTCCTTACAGGTATATATCTGTCGCTTCATTTTATGTATTTTGATACGTTGATTGCGTTGAGTAACATTGGTAATGCATTTCACGTTGTGTAGGTGATGAGCTTCTCTCCGATTCCTTCCCATACAAAGAAATCCAGAATGGAATGCTGTGGGAAGTTGCTGGCAAGGTCACTTGAATCTCGATTATCTTCTTTAAATATCATTACCAATGACAATAAACAATGCATGATTTTTTATTGGTTGACATCATATATTAAATTTTATTATTTGAATAAGTAGTGTGGTTGATCATGTTTTGACAATGTATAAGACATGTTTGCATGTAGTGGGTTGTTAAAGGAGCTGTTGATGTAGACATTGGTGCAAACCCTTCTGCTGAAGGTGGAGAAGATGAGGGTGTTGATGACCAAGCTGTTAAGGTTGTTGACATTGTTGACACATTCAGACTTCAGGTATGGACAATGATATATATATATATATTCCCCTTATTCTTTCTTCAATTTTAGTATTTTCTTGGACTAAGGTCGGAGAATAATTGTCTTGTTGCATAATTTTTTAATGCAGGAGCAACCTGCTTTTGACAAGAAGCAGTTTCTTGTCTTCATGAAGAGGTATATCAAATTGTTGACTCCCAAACTTGACGAAGAGAAACAAGTGCTTTTTAAAAAGCACATTGAAGGAGCAATTAAATTCCTCATCTCCAAGATCAGTGATCTTCAGTTGTAAGTGTCACCTCTATATATATTATATTAAACTATATGATAAATGCGTATTTAATTGATTTGTACGCGTTCATTAGAATGTTTACATATAATTCAATTTTTTTTGCTTTTGGCAGCTTTGTTGGGGAGAGCATGCATGATGATGGTATCTTGGTGTTTGCCTACTACAAGGATGGTGCTACTGATCCCACATTTCTGTACTTTGCATATACTTTGAAGGAGGTGAAGTGCTAAGCAAAATAGCAGGCTGGAGAATTTGACGTTTTTGTACTCTAGTTCTACCATCATATCCAGTCTAGTTTGGTTTTCCTTTTTCTGTTATCCTGGGATAACCCCTTAGTATTTTGGTTTTATGATTAAACAATATGATAGTTGTTAAGGGGGACACTTTTGGTGCGTCACTTTCATTATGGATGGATTAACCTCACATTATATATATTTATTCTTCATTTGCTAGAAGCTTATTGCTGGACTTTCTTACTCCAAATATTATTCATCTTTGTCGAAGGATTCGTGCGTTTAAATTTGTATTTGGATAATAATCACTTTTTTTTTTAGTAATGATTATCTTTTTTTTTTAATTAAGGGCCTATTTTATTATCCCAGATTTTAAAAATAAAAGTGATTCTTATGCAAAATAAACAAGTAATATTCTTTTAGAGATTAAAACAATAGAAACTAATTTATATTTGTTAATGATTATAAAATTACTTTTTTAAAAATTATTTCTAATTTTTAATAAGATTTTAGATTAGTGATTATTTTTTAGAGATTAAAAAAACAGAAATTAATTTATATTTGTTAATAATTATAAAAAATAATTAAAAAGATTTTATTTCTGATTTTAGTCTGATTTTAGATTCTTTTTAACTTTTGATTATTTTAAAAAGTTGAAATATATATATATATATATATATATGTGAATATTTTGTCATATGTAATATATTGTTTAATGTTTGAAATCTTAAGACAAATGACCTTTATATTTATTGTTATGTGAATTGTCTCACCAATATCACTGCATTTTTATTTTTTCTATATTTTTTTGTTTACTTTTTATACTCACCCAGACAACCAACAAATCAAATTAAGCTATCTCTATGCATGCTTCTATGGCTTTTACTTCATGCCTATTGATTCAAATGTTGTCTAATTGTATTCGATATTTTACCTGTACTTATTGGTAAGGGTTCTAATGGTGGACACAAGGTCTCACTATCCGTGTTTGGTTTGGGAATGGAAGTCTTTAGTTAAAGAGTTAATCGCCTATACATTTTCAGTGTAAAGTTTTTTTACGTTGGCAATTAATCATATATTTTAAGAGCTAATTGCCTATACATTGTTAGTATAAAATATTTTTACACTTGCAACCAATTATATCTTTTAATTGTGTCATGTCACTGTTAAAAGTTAATATATTTATAGTGACATGACACAATTAAAAGATATAATTGATTGCCAGTATAAAAAAAATTTACACTGACAATGTATAAGTGATTAACTCATATTTTAATAGTATCATGTCAGTTGCTTATTTAATGAAATAATAATAAAATAAGTAACTTTAAAAGATATAATTGGTTACTAATATAAAAAAACTTTACACTAACAGTATATGGATGATTACCTCTTAATTAAATGGCCTTTAAGTTTCTCAAGTTTATGTCTTGAAAAAGTTTCTAAAAAAAAAAAAAAAGGTTCTTGAAAGAGATATGGCATCTACACACCACTTTTTGATTAAACATAATTAATACTTCCCAACAATATCTATGGTACAATTTTAAATGCACATCTTGATAGACACACTAGTTCAATCTTGAACAATTATCATTATTTAATATATAAGATATATATTTGAATGTTTTTGGTTTTGTTTTAAGTTAATTTGGATTTTTTTTATTTAAGAAAGTTCACATTAAATTGTGATTTCACACTAATTGAATCACAAAATAACAAATATAATATTTAGTTTGTGCATATATATCAATAAAATATGAAGACTAAAATTAATTATTAAAATAACCATTCTTTTGTATAATGATGTAGATAGATTTTAATGATATAAACTAAACATTTATTTTGTATATTGTATAAATTAAAATACTAGTTATAATTAAAATTTATAATAAAATATTTATAAATATATAAATAATACCCTGAATTACCCATCATTTTGACACTAACTTAATATTTAACAATTCTTTTTTACAAAAATTACTTGTTGTTGAACATATTATAAACACGTAATTCTATTCCGAAAAGGTAATATTTTTGACAAATGAAATATTTCAAAAAATAAATATCCTAAATTTGTTGCAACCGAGAAGCAAGAGGGAAAAAATTGCATAAAGAAAACATTTAACAATAATGAAGAGAGTTTGTATTAGTTGTTTAAACAGTGTCTGACTTGTTATAATCCCTTACAACTGAATTCGAGGGGGAAAAAAGCTCTTGTAATCTCGCGGTTAAATGAACAAGTTTGCATACGAGACCCAGCCCAAATGATTTTTGGGCCAAGCCCAAATGTATTTTATTAAGAGGCTCTCTTTTGCCACAAATAAACGTGAAGTGAGCTTGTACAACTTACGAGTTTTGTAAATAAATAAATAAAGGATCATTATATATATACCTCTTTTTATTTTTATTTTTTATAAGTGCACCCCCTTTTAAAAAAAAATAATTAAATTCTTAAAATATTTTTAATTTTTAATTTTTTTAATTTTTTATTTTACACTCCTAATATTTAATTTAACATTTTTTTACATACTTCTTTCCCTTATTTTCATACGTACTCCCTTAATTTTTCTTCACTCCCACCTATTTTAATAGGTAATTTTATTTTTTTTTAGTTTTACATTATTTTTTTTCCTTCTTCTTTCAGTTTTTTCACTCATTTTACTATCCGCATAGTACTCTAAAATAGTAAAAATGTCTTTTTCATAATATTAAATTTAATGTTAAGGTTTTTAGAGGGATGCAAGGAAAGGAAGTTTTGGAAGAAAAAATATGTGTCTAATTTGATAGAAATTGTCGAGAAAGCTACACGTACCTACAATGTTGTCGCCTACCAGTTTCATGATTTTAGTGCATTTAAAAAAATAAAAGAGGTGAAAAAATAAGAGAGTAATATAAAAATCGAGAGATCTAAAACTACCCACTGAAATAAGTGAAGAATTAGATGAGATAAGACGGTACATGTAAAAACTGAAAAAGAGAATGTAGGAGGTGTGTGAAAATGAAAAATAATTAATTATAAGTTAGAGATATAAAATTAAAAATTTTAAAAATAAAATAAATTATGATTATTTTAGAATTTAAAAAAAATTAATAAAAGACTTGTAAAAAAAAATAGGTTTATATATCATTAGCCATAAATAAAAAACTAATCTAATCCAAATTTATGTGGATTTCTATTTACACAAAATGGTCCAATACGACAGACAGAGCCTCTTTCTCTCGTATATGTCGGCTTCGGACTGAAGTTTAAGAAAAGGAGAGAGAAACAAAAAAATTAAACTTAACTTAATCTCTTTTGAGTTTTATACTTTTATTGGGTTTGAGAAAAAAACCTACGGAAACCCACCTTACATTTTATTAAAAAAATTCTGTCAAACTTTTTTTTAATTTACTTATATGATTTTAAATATTTATATACTAATTTATTAATTAAACTTTATAATAATTGTTTAAATATATAAATATATAATAATTAAAAATCACAATAAATTCTTATTTTTTGAATAAATATTTTTTTAGTGGGCATGTTTGGAGGATGGAAAAAATAGATAATAAGTAACACAAATAGATACATGGATGAAAGAAATATACCGAATAAATATCTGATAAATAGAATGAAATTAGAGTATTTTATTTAAGATAAAAAATGAAAAAAAGTTCAAATAATTACTATTATTATTTACTGATTTGGTGACATATATTATGCACAAATTTATTATTATAATTTAGTGGCATGGTGACATGTATTTTGTAAAAGAGATTAAGTAGAAAGTTAGTTTCCTCAATCAGACACTTAAGCTCAAGTTTCATTGCTCTATCTTACTTTAGTGGAGGCTTTTCACTTTTATAAGTCAAGAAATATTCATTGTAGTTTAATTTAAGACATGACAAAGGTGAAAAAGTAACTTTTTAAAAGTAACAGTTAGTATCACTCTTTTTGAGATATCATTCTAATATACAATTCTAATGTGTATTTTGATGAGTCACATCCAAGTTATTAGGCGTTATATATAATTATTAAGAATAAAATAAAAATGATAAACATGGATACGAAATGAGAAAATATTTTTATTATTATTATATATAATAAATTATTTATCCCATGCTATGCTACTAGTATGTTTGAATAAGTTTACACGAAAATCATTATATAATGTACAAATAATGTTCCAACGATTCAATAAAATATGAAGACTAAAATTAATTATTAAAATAACCATTCTTTTGTATAATGATGTAGATAGATTTTAATGATATAAACTAAACATTTATTTTGTATATTGTATAAATTAAAATACTAGTTATAATTAAAATTTATAATAAAATATTTATAAATATATAAATAATACCCTGAATTACCCATCATTTTGACACTAACTTAATATTTAACAATTCTTTTTTACAAAAATTACTTGTTGTTGAACATATTATAAACACGTAATTCTATTCCGAAAAGGTAATATTTTTGACAAATGAAATATTTCAAAAAATAAATATCCTAAATTTGTTGCAACCGAGAAGCAAGAGGGAAAAAATTGCATAAAGAAAACATTTAACAATAATGAAGAGAGTTTGTATTAGTTGTTTAAACAGTGTCTGACTTGTTATAATCCCTTACAACTGAATTCGAGGGGGAAAAAAGCTCTTGTAATCTCGCGGTTAAATGAACAAGTTTGCATACGAGACCCAGCCCAAATGATTTTTGGGCCAAGCCCAAATGTATTTTATTAAGAGGCTCTCTTTTGCCACAAATAAACGTGAAGTGAGCTTGTACAACTTACGAGTTTTGTAAATAAATAAATAAAGGATCATTATATATATACCTCTTTTTATTTTTATTTTTTATAAGTGCACCCCCTTTTAAAAAAAAATAATTAAATTCTTAAAATATTTTTAATTTTTAATTTTTTTAATTTTTTATTTTACACTCCTAATATTTAATTTAACATTTTTTTACATAAAGTCATGAAATTAAAAAAAAATTATATAACTTGTGTGTTAT